GGCCTCTGCCATTATATGGCTTTTTCTTTTAATGTCTGATTGTTGGATTAATAGGTATTAATGCTAATTTCAAAGCAGTGCAATGGGTTGATGCCAGTTAAAGGACTTCAGAAACTACTAGTAAGCTTAGACTGTCAGTATGCTTCTCTCTGTGTTCTGGGCTGTGAGGCTTGGAAATCTTAGCACGAGCTACTGCAATACTGTCCTCTGCTCAGAAGAGCCAGCTCTGACTAGTGGGACTTCCATAGGGCAGATGAAATTCTCATAAACCGGGAGTGAAGGCTGCTATATACACAGAAAATTATGGTTCATCTCCTACGTCCAATTCACCCCGAGTTAATGGCCTAGCTTAGTGTGACAGTAGTGCATTGAATCGTGCCTCTAGGTTCTTGGCTTGTTTGGGAAAAACCCACCTAGAGTAAGAGGAAGGTGGGGAAATAATGGAGCCTTAGTAGCATTGCTGAATATGAGGTGACAATCTGTTTAAAGTATGGGAAAAGGAACATTGTTTTAAAACTTTTATAGTAGTAGTGTGGCAAGAGTTTTAGGTGCATGTAAAGAGCAGTCAGCTCTGTTGCTAACCTTCAGGAGTGAAAGCTGGCTAGGCACCTTTGGCCTTCAAAGCAGATGCTTTTGCGTTTTGTTATTTATGGAAGTCACATCTGTGCTTGAGAAATTAGCCCACAGAACAGCCGATTGGCTGTGCTGACACCAGTTTTAGGAAAAATATTTATGTTGATGTATTTATTTATTTATTTTTTAATGCTACTGTAAGCTTTATTTATTTTCACTCTTGCTGAGTATGTCAAGACATCTGGGTACAGCCGGATGAACTTTTATGTTCAGTTAATTAAAATATATTGATCTAATTGTGGAAAACTTTTGTAAACAAACCATTTAAATGTTAAATGTAAATTAAAATTGCAAGATTGGGATTCTAGCAGCTCCCATGCCACTGGTACAGGATGACAGTAGCTAAGATAGCTGTCTCCAGAGTCAGAAAGACTGGAACACTTCACAGCTGGATTTAAGGTAAGCCTGAATACTTCTGCTTGAATTTGACACTGATCTAGAATGAATAACACTTAAATATTTTCTCTGTGATGTTTTTCTAGTAAGTAATAGCCTCTGTCTTGCAAAACAATGGAGTGTGTCCTGTCTACCTCTTGCATTCAGCTAAGCAGTGCTCCAGAGTGTCATACTGCAGTCCTGGAATGAGCTGAACAGCTGGGAAGGGGCAGAAAAATCCATCCCTCCCTGAACCAACAGAACTGTTCGCAGCTGTGAAGATCCCAAAACAATTACAGGTGTTTCTGAATGCTCGTTTGCACATACCTGCTTTAGGACCCTGCTAATCCACACATCCCACCATAGGAGCAGTCATCCTCCACTGCTCAGCTAAGATGCAAGACCTTAATGTTGTACCAAGTTTTAGTCTTACTAAGACTTTTCTGTTTTGAAAACCTACCCCAGAGTACCCTACAAAAGTAGCATTGCTTTTATAAATGAACGAAGTATGGTTTAGGATGTGATGTTGATGTTTCTTGTTGGATGCTTACCACTGTGCCACTTCCTGTTTGCTTTCTAGCAAGGTACAATTGGCCTGTCTTTGTTTGCCTCTAAACTGGTTATACAAATTATTTTTTTAGCATCTGGTAAAAACCCTGCCTCCTTCTGTCACCCAGTCACAGGTATGAAACAAGGAGGCTTAGCTAGCTGCTGTTTTGTGATCCTCTTGTAGTGTCAGGTACCATGCAAATGCAAGGATCAGTGGTGTTTTACTTGGTGAATAGAGGGGGCAGAAAATCATTGTTTTCCATGTGTGGTGGAGTGGAGGATTAATTTTAACAAAAAGGGTTCCCTTTCCCCCACACCCAGAGAGCAGACCAAATGCATTTTGTCAAAAGTGACTTCAGCATAAAATTGCTCCTCCTCCCAGAAGTGATTCTGAATGTAGCTGTTTCAATAGGAGTTGCTGCAGCTGTCTGGTAAGGAGTGAGAAGACAGCTTGTCAGAGGTACTTGAATGAAGGCTAGTTGTGTTGCTTTTTCTTCCATGCCTCTGTTATAATACTGTTCTGGGCAGCAGACAATGGTGCAACTGCTGTCTGCATGGTAGGCTGTAGGCACTCACTGGACGACAGAACTGGGCTCATGGGGGGCTGGTATTGGCAGAAGGCTCATTTGGTACAAAATGCTGTAAAAGGGAGATGAAAGTGACCCCAGGTCTGCTCGACAGTGGATGTAAGAGGCCTGTTTGTTATACAGTGTTTATTAAGTAGATTCAGTCTTATATATGATATACAGATTCAAAAGAAAAAAGGATTCCACATACTTATGAAATCAGTGCATTTAGCAAGTAATACCATGGAGATAACAGCTTGATTAACAGCTCATTGGTCTTTGTTAAGTGAGGGGAACAGGGAGTTGGCCTGTGCTAATCATTCCACAAACAGAACAGAATTAAGTTGCATCACATATATAATAGACACACGTTCTAAGAATTAAAATATTAAGCCACATTTACTGGAAAAATCCACAGTATATAACACAAATCATTTGTATAGAGCTTATTGAGGAGGAAGTGCTCATCTGCTTAAAAGAGCCACATTGAGTTGCATAGGTGCCTAGCTGCAAAAATATCATTTAGAAAGGAATCAACTGATTACGCAATAAAGTGTCACCTTAGAAGCTGGATTCTCTTCCCCTGGTGGCTTAAGTGCCATGTTTGCTACTCGAGCCCCCTGGAAAGTACTGGCTTTCCAAATGAGGTGTCTTTGACTTCATTCGGGGACCCTCGTGTCTCCCGAGGGACTCCTTTCCTACTGTTTTATTCTGAAATCAGCATTGGGGATGACTTGACCAGGTGTGCGGGGACGGGTGTCTCCAGTTGTGCTGAAGGAAAAAGCAGGTTCTTCCCCCTTCCCCAGCTGTTGTGATTGCTGCTGTATTCAGCTTGGAATCGGGTCCAGCTGAGCAGCTTTTGCCTTCATGCCTTGGGTACCAGGGAAGGAGGCTGGTGAAACAGCACCGTCATATGGTTCTGTTTCCATGCGGGGTCCTGGCTGTCGGTTTTTCAATGAATTCTCTTGTATCAGGTCTCAGATTTGTAGACCAAAGCTATTTCTTAAGTTGACCACTCAAGATAAACTAGATTGTGCAAAGAACAAATCTATGACAGCACATCTCAGCACTGGGGGGAGGGAAGGGGGGGTTGTTTTGTCTTTTAAGACGGCGAAACATTTCCGTGAGAGAGAAAGTGAGTCTGTGGCTTTCTTAGGCAGATGAACTGGGTGAGGTGCATCTTCCTCTTCAACAGCAGGTCTTGCAGAACACACAGGGGCTGGGAGTTCTGTACATGTAAACAGTACACTTTCACTGAGTCCAAAATTAGGAGCAAAAATACAAAGGTTCACATTGGTCTTAGGTAGATACAGGCGAAGAACTGAGCTGTACGGCTCTGAAACAACCAAACAAAAGTTTTCTAAAGCACCACTAAATTATATAAAAATCAGACCATGGACGGATTGTAGTTGGTATTCTGGTGAAATACTATGCTACCTTGTAAAAAGTTTTACAAAAAATTACAAATCAAAAGTATATTATTTAACCCTCTGAGTTCAAAGCAGCATTTTTGTAAATGAACTGGTACTAAATCCTACGGCCGCCCGCCGGAGGGGAGCAGCCCTCTGGACTGGGGAGGTACAAGTCGCATCTGCTTGGAATCCCGTGAACACTTTTTCCTCCTGCTGAAACGCATCGTTGGGAACTGGACGTCCCATGCGTGCTCGCGAGGAGGAGTCTCAAGGAAACAAAAATTGTATGTTTTCTTGAACACGTTTTTTTCCCCTCAGACCGTCTGCTAAACTAGGGTTCTCCTTTCAGCCGTCACAAAGTCTGGAAAGCCAGTGTGTTCTGCTCCTGCTCATTCCTTCTGCCTGAGAATCTAAATCAGAGATTCCTAGTCCTTTAGTATCTAGGGAGAACTGAGGATTGTGGCTGTGAAATGACAGGTTTTGAGCACAGAAGGGCCGATATCGAGTGAGGACCAGTTAAAGAGCACTGAGATGTCCCGTGGAGCTAGCTCCAAAGAAAATAAAGCTGCAGCTTACCCACAAAAAAAAAATGTTCCCTGACAGAAATATGTAGTGGATCCCATTTGTTTCACTTGTCACAGATGCTGCTGTCACCAGGGCTTCAGACATCTGCGCGTGTACCCTCCAGCTGCAAGCTATGAACATCAGTTGGTGTCGCCGGGTGGGTTGTCCATTGTTTTTCCTACGCAAGCCGGAGTCTCAGCTCTGTTCTACCAGTGTTTGAAACGATTTAAGAGCTACTGAACTTCTAACACATGCGCTAAGCCAAGTTCCAAGGTGATCTGGTAAAGACAACTAGAACCGGTATAAATACAACTTGAATCAAACTCGCTGATGTTGATCTCTTTGCAATAAGCCCCTGGGCAACCCCTTTCTTAGTTAACTGGCTGGCAAACTTATGGCTACATGTTCACCATGGCCTCTTGAGGAGCAGAGGCAACAATTAAGTTATCTATAGAGAGAATTCTGGGACAGCGATTGTCTCTGCCTCTCTTTCTTTAACATTAAGACTTTCACAAATGGCTGTGGTTACATTTTGTAAAGGGTTTGTTACTTCATGGTATTCACACAAAAATAAATATTTACATAAATTCAAAGTATGGGGGGGTGGACAAACCAAGCAGGCTTGCGAAGTGCTGGGAAAGTGTCTGTCCGAAGTTCTGGATGTGCATGGTGATTCTTTACTCGGCTGCCTTGGCCTTGGTACTGGCCTGCCCTCCCCGTAACTTGGTCAGATACACTTGGCCTGGTCGGGACGTGCCCACACACTTGCCCCTTTTGGCTTGTGTTGGAATGAGGGGCATCAAGTCTGATCCGTGGCAACCCCCCACCTTCTCCCTGTGGGGACTCTGTGACTGTAGGACACGGTCAGGAGTTGAGTCCCCTTTCTCCAGCAGCTGGGGAAAAAGGTCAATGCAACAGGAAATCCCTTCCAGTGCTGAGCTTAGGCAGGTTCTTGTCTAGAGAGCCTGAGGCCTTGTCTCTCCTAAAGCGAAGAGCAGGGCTTTGTTCCTCAGCCAGCACTGCTTGTCCTCTCTGTTTTATGGGGTGGAATTTGGTTAAAGAAAAAGCTTTCAAAAAATATGTTGGAGGTTCGGCCTCTGCCACCTGCAGCAGTTGAAAGCCCTGGGTTGGCATGGCTGACTTCTGCAGTGCAGGCCTGACCCCTGCAGAAACCATCCGCACCAAGACAGGCTTGTGACAAGTTGGTCTAAAAGAAGCTGGAGAAGGAAACCACCTGCACTCCAAACGCTCACCATGGCAGTGGCACTTATCGAGGGCTGCTTTCTCCTGGCTCCTGCCCTCCAGAGGAGAGCAGGCCTGGGTTTCCGCCAGCACTGGGAAGGGAGGAGGCAAGGAGAAGTCTCACGGGTTCTCCGGCAGCAGTTGCTGCTGCTTTTTATGGCTACAGACCACGTTGCATTGCTTGGCCCTGCTTGGCATCCATGCCCGAGCATAGTCCCTGGTTTAGCAGCACTGGTGATAGGTATTGCACTGAGCAAAGGGAAGTGCCTTGGTGTGGGGGGAGGGAAGGGGCTGAGCAGTGGTAATCAGGCCTATCTCTTTTTCACACGTTAGGAATTGTGGGCTTATTCCAGGACTGTTCCTGGGGGGCTCCAAGGCCTGCAGAGAGCCCCCGTTACTGCTGCTGAGCGTCTCCTGGCCTCTGCTTCCTTAGGAATGGCTCATGGGGCTGGAGCAGCATGCCTTTCCTCCCCAAGAGCCTGCTCTGCCTTTTGTTAGTCCCAGGTACCTATGCTAAGCAGTTCTGTTATGCACGTGTGAAAACAGCCTGGGTTTCAAGGAGTGATTGGATGTTTTTTTATCGTGCAGCAGCAGCGCACCTTCCTTTCCCTGAACAGAGAGGGCATCAGGCCAGGCGAGGTGTCGAGCTGCTGGCTTAGTGTCGCACTCCTCCATGGCCTTTGCTTCTCTGCCGAGCAGTCGGGCTATGCGTCATGCACGCGTTGGGGGGTGTCCTGGAAAAAGCCCACAATGGAGTGTGAGGTAGAAAACAGATCATGAACGCAGGACAGTGTTTCTCAGATGTCTCCTTGTTTTCTTTCTTTCTTTCTTTTTTTTTTAATTTTCAATTTTAAACGAGTGTGAGAGAGAGAGGTCCTTCTGGTCAGAAGTGTACTGAGCTTGCTGAGTCTCTGCGGGAAATATCAGATCCCACTGCTGCTGCTACAGGACTGCTTAGAGTTCAGGTCTAAACAGGGCGCTCCTTTCTTCCTTCTTCAGCTTCCACCTAAGCTTATGGGAGGCCGAGCAGCCTGGAGGCTGCCAGGCTCACGGACAAGCACCCTGTAGGACCCGGGTTTCCAGGAGGAACGGGCATCGCTGCCCAGCCATTAGTAGTGTAGTGACATGGAATGTGTTATTTCACAGGAATAAATGCCTTCTCATCAGACGGACACACAACTGGCAACCTGTACAAACTTAAACGAATCCATTTTCAGAAAAATAAATTACTAAGGGGAGAGGAGGGTCCATTTCTCAATAAATATGCGATTCAGCTCACCTAAGACTGGAAAGGTAATTATCTGGGGGTGGAACTCTAACAGTGGGGTCCACAAAGGGTCTCCTAAATACAGCTGCAGCCCCAACCTCCCCAGGCTCCCTTCCACCCTAGAAAGTCCCGCACCCGTCCAAGTCGCACATTTGGCTTCTGGTCTGTGCAGTATGGTTCGAAAATGCGTCTTTGTGCCCAAAGTCCCAGGTGCTCGGAGTGTGAAAGAAAACGGGTCTCTTGGATTCCACTTCTTCAAAGGAAATGTACCACCTGCATGGTGGGAGGACGATGGTAGGTCCTGAGCAGGACACGAGTGGGAGCCTCTTTCTAGAGGATGTCAATTGTCTTCTGACAGAGGAGCTACGCGGACGCCCGGAGTCAGTTCTGCTGTAAAATGAGGTTTTCCAGTTCATCTGCCGACCGGAGGAGAAAAGCCGCAGACTCTCGGTAGCCGGCAATCAGCTGCCTCACCGCGCTGATCTCCGTGGGGCTGAGCTGGGCGGCCTGCATCCCCCTGCTGGTGCTGTTGGACGGGGCTGTACTGGATGCCCCCCCTTTCATGCTGAGATCAGTGGGACCTGCAAAGGGAGAGCAATGGAGGGAATCAGGAGTGGAACAGGGCCGGCAGCTGCCCCAAAGGGGCACAGCAGGCCTGGAGGAGGAGACAGGCGGCACCAATTTTGCTGCTGTACTGTGCATGCGGGTGATGGGCACGTGAAACGCGAGTCGTCGGAAACGTGCTGCTGTCCCCACCCCCCCAGCCTGCAAGAGAGGCACGAGGCTCAGGCAGAGCTGTTTCTCCATGGGTGGTAGGGAGAGAAACACCTGCTCTGTAGGTGTGAGAGCCTGTCCCGCTGAATCGCAGTGGGGAGTGCAGCTGGGCTAGCCCCACTGGGAGGGAGACGCACGCCGGGCCCTGGAGCAGTTGTGCCTCCTGCGGTTCAGAGCTGCTCCACTGCGCGCTGCAGCCCAAGGACTCAGGAGGCTGCTTTCTGGCTCGTCTCTGGAGGTGTCCGGCCACGGCTGCCCGGGGTCAGTTCTGGGGCGGTGCTGAGGGTCAGCCACAGTCCCTTGGTGCTCGAGTGCACTGGGCAAAAGGGCTCCCACACAGAGATGGTCCATCAGACCCAAATGAACGACGTTTTCTGCCTGTCCTCAATGAACCCCTTCCCCAGAGGGGTCGAGTGACCCCCAGCCTGCACTTGCCGATGTGCAGGAGTAGCTAGGAGCACGGGTCTGGCCCCACTGCCATCCCTAAGCACCCCCCAGTCTTCCTTCTGCTTCAGCTTCAGGGCCCTGCGCTGCAGGGAAAGGAGGAAACACCTGCTCTCATGGGTGAGAGCACGGGGGAAACAAAGCAGTGCAGCGCGCGCAGGAGGGGGAGACGCAGGCAATGAGGCACCCAGCAGGAGAACTGGTGACTGGGCCTGGGCGGAGGAGCACGTGCTGCCAGGGAGGAGAAACGGCTCAGAGCTGCCGCTGGTCAGAGTGAAGAGTACAGGGGGCAGGTAAGGTGACACCCCGCAGCATGCAGCAGGTTTGGACCCAGGCGGGTATTGGAAATGGGAGGGCAGGGATGGACACCGCCCATTTTGGGGGGGCGAGAGCAGGCAAGGGAGATGGGGAGCTCACCCAGGTTGTGGGGTAAAGAGTGGAGACGTTGGAGATGGTCCCGGAGGGATGGGAGAAGCGGAGGCTTTTGCTCTGATTAGGCTGAAGTGGTGCTGAGACGGCTGAGCCTGGGCAGGGGCGGACGGTGAGCTGGCTGTGCAGACCAGCCCAGGGGGCTCCCAGCAGGTAACAGCAGGAGAGTGCAGACCCGCCGTCAGCGGCAGAGGAGTGTGTGGGAGCGGAGGGAGCCAAGGCAGTGCTGAAATGGCACAGGACAGCCCTGGGAGCCCGAGCAGAGGACATGGGTGTGTGTCCAGGAGCGTGGGAGGGGAGGGCTGAGCAAAGCAAGGACAGCGGCAGCAGAGAGGGAAGGCAGCAGGCAGGAGGCTGGAGCTGCAGTGCCAACCGGAGGAGGAAAATGGGGAAGTGGCCGAGTTAGAATCTGTGCTGGCCAGGGAACGGCAGCTCCGGTGCAGAGGGGCTGCAGGGAGATGGCGGCTGGGGGCATAAGAGGGGCCAGAGCGGCGCTGGCTTCATCTTAGCAGGGGAATGGGACGCTGTCGAAGGTGGGGAGGGGAGGGGAGGTGGAGAGGATGTGGCAGGAGTGTGCTCTCTTGCCTTTAAAGGAGCTGGCTGGCAGGAGCCCGGGCAGGGGCAGGGGAAGAGGGCTGGGAGATGAGCTCTAAACATGGACAAGACGGGAGCGAGCGTGCTGTGTGCCAGGGGCTGGCTGTCGGCGGAGCAGCACCTGGAGGAGCCCTGCACTGGAGGAGAAGGGCCCCGAGCCCCAGAGCCTGGATGGGAAGCGTGGGCCCCCCTGTTCTAGCTGCAAGGATTAGGTCTCGGCAGCTGGGGCCTAGGGCAGGATCTTCGTTCAGGGTTAAGAGGCATTAGTGAGGGATGATAACAGTTAATCCCAGACAGGCATCTCTCAGGACTCCGGAAATCGCATCCGTTCAAATCCTTGCGCCCGCCGGCTGGGGCGGAGCTGGGGCAAGGGCAGAGGAAGGAAGCTGAGGCGCAGAGCAGGGATGGGAGAGGCCTTATGGGATGTGGCCCCACAGGGGCCTGGAGCCCACCCCTCCACGGGGATGCGCCCTCCTGCCTCTCAGCTTCCCCCAGGCTGTGGCCCTGCCTGACCCCCACTGCTCCGGCCTGTCCCTGCTCTTTTCGGCGTGGATGATTTGCTGCCACTTGGATGCCTATGTTGCCGGCATCATCTGGCCCCAGCTGACTTCCTGCCCCTTGGGCGGGGGGCCGGACCCGATGATCCTGCAAGGTCCCTTCCAGCCCTGATGTCTATGAAATCTATGAAGTCAGCCTGACCGTGCCCCCAACCTCCTCCTCCCTCCTCCCTCTGCCTGATCCTCTCTCCCAGCCCCCTGCTCCCTTGCCGCCAGGACGGGGGCGGCTTTCTCTCCCTGCTCGGCTGCTTTCCCAGCCTGCAGGCAGACGCAGCCCCCGTTGGAGGGAGGGTGGGGGGAAGGGACCCCCTCCGACCAGCCCAGGGATTAGGGTGGCAATAGGCAGCTGCCTCCGTTAATCATTAATGTCTGGTCCATGTTCTCTCTTCTCAAGGTAAAGGCAGACCCCTGCCACGGCCCTGCCCTTGTTTTCCAGGAGCCTTTGCGGCTGCTGGGGCAGAAGAGGTGGGCCCTGAGCAGGGACCCCATTTGAACGGACCGAGGGGAGATGGGATGCGAGAGAAGACAGGGCAGCGCTCGGTCCTGCTGCTTGTTTCCCCACCATGTCGCGCTTACCATTACTGTGGTTCCCTGTTTGGAGCGAAGTGGGTGGCTGGAGGCTGCCCCCAAGGGTCCCATAGCCACGGTAGCTGTAGTTCAGGCTCCCGTTGATGTAGACCGGGTCCTGGGAGTAAGACGAAGCTGGCAGTGAGTAGGAGGAGTGGGTGATGGCCGTGGAGTCGCGGGAGTGCTGCTTGTCTAGAGCGATGGGCTCGTCCTGCAGCGAGGGAAACGCACTAGTTAGTGCCAGGAAGGGCCTCATGGTGCGAGGGGAGGCAAAGGCAGCGTCGGCCTTCATGCATCCCTGCTGGCTGCGAGGCCTTTGGGCGAGCGCCTCCCAGACACTCGGACCACCTGGACTCCTCCCTACGACACACACGCAACGCTCCCACCATCCTCCTTCCCCTGGGAACGTGTGCAATGTGCCCCTGCAAGGGCTGCCACTCTCTCCCAGTGCCAGGAACGCCCTAACTCCCTCCCGGCGCACCCCCAAACTGTCGTCCTGCTTGCTCTGCCCTTCCCAATGAGCGCCCTGCATGGACGGCCCTGTGAGCGGCTGCTGCTCCCTGCCCCTCGCTCCAGCACCTCGGAGCAAGTCGCCCTGCAAGAGCTCTGCTGACCTGGGCTGGGCCTTGCAGCAAGTCCCCCTGCCGTGGCTGGGGAAAAGGCTGGTGAGAGCGCACCTGGCGCGCAGAGGACTACCGGGATCCTACCTGGGATGTCTGGTAGATCTCCAGCCGCATTCTCTTGGCTGCTTTCCGTGTTTCGCTCTCGCAGGCGGCTGCCAGGATGTTTTCTGCCATGGCTGAGGTCAGGTGGGGTGGGGTGGGTCTGGTCTGTGCGGGGAGAGAACCAGAGAGCCTGTGTTTTGGGAAATGTGGAGGGAGCGAGTGGTCTTGCCTCCCCTGGGCCCTGGGCTCCCAGGGCACAGAAACCTCTGTGTCCTAAATGACAAGCTAATATTTGAAAAGCAAGACACCGGAGGCTTCAGCCTAGTACTCTCCTCCAGGTCCTGCCTCTCTGTGGCTAGAAACAGCCCTGGCTTTGTCCCAGGATAATTGTTCAGATGCGCTTTGCGGTGTTGGGCTGAACTGTTAGGGCTTTTCATCCTATGAATCTTTCTAGGATTTATCCCGGGGCAACGGATGTGGATGTCTGAACAACTGCACTTTGTCCTGGGATAAAATGTTTTGTCCTGGGCAGGGCGAGGGTAGGCTCACCATCTCCATGCCGTTCTTCTTCATGCGGCGGCAGGACTTGAGGTAAGTGCGAATGCGCTTGCGAGCCCGCTCCTGGAACTCGGGGAACTGCCGGCTGCAGGACTCGATGATGGCCTGGATCTTCTCCTTGGGCTGCTTGGAGATGGGAACCATCCGGTCCAGATTCTCATCCACAAAGAGACGCACAAACATCTGCAAAGAGAGCGGAGAACGTACCTGGTGAGCGGGCTGTGGTGCAGCTCTGGGAAGGCCCAGCCCGGTGCAGCCCGGTGCAGCCCGCCTGGTGCCCTTACGTTGAAGGCCTTCAGCCGCTCAGGATCCATCCCCTCGGAGTCGTTGATTTTGTCATTGTCCTCGTGGTCATCGTGGTCATCGTCGTCATCGTCAGCTGTTGGCGCTCGGCCGACAGTCAGGTCTTCGGGGCAGCCGCTGACCTCGGTCTTGATGGAGTCATAGCTGCCGGAGCTATAGGGGGGAGACTGAGAGAGGAGAGGGCGCGTGAAAACCATGAGTGCACTGCCTGCCCCTGGCCCTTTCCCCTGCCCAATTTGACATCCTGCTCCCTGCCCAGGGAAAGGATGGAGCTGCCCCCAACTCTGCAGCGCGGACCAGCCAGGAGAGGGAATGCGCAAGAGGTGCAAGCACTGGATGATGACAGCGGTGGAGATGCCGGATTTGGGTCCTCACCAGCGCTGGCCTCGTGCTGCACGTGCAAACCTGGAGATGCAAGCAGCAGGCTCAGGGGGGATGTCCTGTTTTCAACAAGGTTTAAGCCCCGAGGGCGCCTAACTCCTGTGGGCAGGGGGCTTGGTCTGGCGGCCGAGCGAGAGAAGCAGGGAGCCTCTGAGGCAGATGCTCTATGAGGAAGCCCCTTCCCAAGGTGCTAAACCTGGATGGGAGACGCACCAGCCTGAGCCTGTCCCGATAGCTCAGAGACTGGGCCGTGCCTGCACTGGCGCCTTGCAGCAGCGGGCCCTACCCCATGTGCCGTGGGGCTCGGCGCTCTCCTGCCGCACTGGGAGGGGGCACCCGGGAGACACTCGCTGCAACAGGGCTCAGGGCCTAGGAGTCGGTTCCTGGGAAGAAGCGAAGCGCATCTGCTGGCCCAGCCTCGTCCGTCGGGGCAGGGTGGCCGCGGCTTGCCCCTCCTCGCCTGAGACGGGGACATAACTTATCTGGGAGCTGGTTTCTCCGCAGCGCCTGCTGCGGCAGGGTCGACAGCTGACCCTGGATTTATGGCTGTGCGGCGGAGAGTGGGAGACTGCTGCGGAGCCTGGGTCTGCCGAGACCTCACAAAGGGCTCATCACTCACACTGACCATGTGTTTCATGGGGCGGGGGGAACGACTTTCACACGGGCTGCCCGAGGGGAGCTGCTTCCTTGAGACGGGGAGGGATGCTCCCGTCACTAACCAGGGGCTCTGGGCTGGGCTGTGTGGGGCCGGGAGCTCAACGCCGGCTCGGTGGCCCTTGCTTTCCCTGACCTCTGCTAACCGAACCGTCCTCCTTGGGGCCTTGTTTTTGGCTGCACAGGGCCGGCCCTGAAGCTGGAGCGGGGCCAGATGCAGCTGCTCTCCAGCAGCTCCTGGGAAATGGCCGAGTTCGGCTGTGCTGCGTTCCCCTTCCCTCCCTAGAAGGGAATGCATCCAGCTCCCCAGCCAGCTCCACCCCGCTCCCACCCGGCCCCGGGCCCAGCACCGCTCTCTCCTCCCCAGGGGCAGGAGCAAAGTCCTCTGCTGCCCTGGGACAGCCTGGCTGCACTTTCCTGCCCCCCACCCGCCCCTCCCCTGTGCCCCGAGCAGGTATGCGCCGTGCGCCCAGCTCCGCGCGGCCTGCCTCGCTGCCAGACGCACCTCTGCCGTTGTCTTCGCCGCGTACTTCACCCGGCTCCGCAGCCCGTCCGCGCTGCAGCCGTCCGGCGGGTAGGACGGAGCGACGTGGGTGGGTGCGAGCTTGTCGCACAGGTTGATGGGCTGGTCCTCAGTCGAGGCAGCGAAGTCCATGGGGGCGGCCGTGCCATTGCCGTTCATCTCGGGGAAGGCGCTGTCCCCCTGGGTGCTGCTGGAGGTGGAGGGGTTCAGGGTGGAGGAGCCGTTCCCGCTGCAGCTCTCCGACGAGGAGTCGTCTGCAACACAGGAGGACGCGTCACCTCAGGCCCGTGACCCTTGAGCCCCGGAGCCCTGAGGATGGGGCGGCCCGTCCCCTGCCTCCCAAGGGGATGAGGCGCCGGCCAGCTCGCAGCGCCAAAGGCTCTTTCCCGGGCAACCGGGAGCGGTGCGGGGTGACCCCCTCCCGGGTCCCCGAGCCCCACGTGCCCTGCTCATGCATGAATGGGGCTGGGTACCGCCGGGCGATCCCTGGTCAGACCCCCCTGCGGCGGCTGGCAGGTGGAGGGGCAGCGCTCCCCTGCACCCAGGAAGGAGCTGGACTTTATCACACCGGCTGCGCTGGGGCCTCCCCGCGGAGCCACCCCGGGACTGCCGGCCCGCAGCTCCCCTCCCCCAGGAGGAAGGGCAGCCCTCTCCCTTCGAATGGGCTTTGCTTGAATAAGGACTTTGGAATTTGGCCTCCTCCTGTGTCTGTGCTGCGGGAGGGGACGGGGACACGGATGGGGACGGGATGGGTCCCTTGTGTGGGGCGGTTCGACTCCTGTTCGTCTCTGTGGAGAGGTTTGGGCGCCAGGGCTGGCCAGAGAGACCGGCTGCCCCTTGGGCCCAGGCTGGAAGGAGCAGGCGGGGGCCAGCATGAGCCCTGCGCATGCAAACAGACCCCCTGTGCCAGGCTGGGCTGCAGCGAAGGCTCCTGCTGAGCCCATGCCCAGTTCCTCGGGCGGGCAGACGGACGGAGGCTGACTCCCGACTTCACGCGAGGGTCCAGCCATGCGGCAGCAGGCCCAGACCTGTTCTGTGCTAGAGGATGCGGCGTCCCTTCCTCCCCCGCGCGGCCGACCTTGCTCCCGGCCCGACTCCACCTCCGCTCCTCTCCCGGCTTGCCGGTCCCTGACACCTACCTGCCTCCCCCCACGCACCTGTCAGGCCCCCTCCCTTCCAGGGGCTCCACCTCCTACATGCACGTACATGCACACACATGCAAGTGCACAGTCTCTCCCCCCCTGCCCCAATCCCCTCTCAGCCCTGGGTAGACAAGTCCCTGCTCAGCTGCTGCTTCCTTCTTGGCGGCCTCCAAGCCGCAGGGTCACGGGCTCCCCTTGGCCCCGTGCCCGCCCTTCCTGGACGCAAGGCCTTGTGCTTGCACACACGCACGTGCTCCCCCCACCGCCTTGGCCCTTGCAACCCCCACCCCGTGCAGCTCCCTGCAGCGCTGGCCTGGCGGGGCCCGGGTGCTGTTGCGGGGGAGAAGCCGTGCTGGCCCCCTCCCCTTGCCGGCCTCGCCTGCATCCCAGCGCGGGGGGCTGAGGCGACATTTCCGTGCCCCTGGGCCCAGCTCCCCTCCCCCTGCTCCCTTCTTTCGGGAGGTGCCTCCGCTCCGCTCTCCGCTCTCCTCCCCGCCAGGGAAAGGGCGAAGCACGTGGGGAGCGGCTTCCTGTGCAACTGCGCGCCCGGCTCAGAACAAAGGAGCGCGCGGCCTGCCGAGCAGATGGCGGTCCCCGGCTTCCTGCTCCCTGCATCCTCGTCCGCGCCGCAGGACAATGGGGGTCAGGCTGCAGGACCAGCCTCGTGTTGCCCCAGCACAGGGGGTGGCGGCGCATGTGCGGGGAGCGGAGGGAGGAAGGTGCTGGAGCTGCCTTCCTCCCTCCCCTCGAGCCCCACCACCCGCAGGGAAACTGCAATGAGTAGCTGCTGCGAACTTCCCTGTGACCCTGCGCAGGCGGTGGCAGCTCGGGACTTTGTCTTGCTTGCAAAAAAGACAGATGCCGAGTGCCACCGGGCACCCAAGTGGGGACCCCGGTGGGGCAGGGCGAGCCTGGTCTGCAGCCGCCCCGGCAGAAGGGGCTCGGTGCACCTGGCTGCATTGGGGTGTGTGCATCCAAAGCCCCGTCCCTGCTCCCTGCCTGGGAAGGGAGGCAGGATGGCGCGAGTGCCCCGTGCGTGCCATGCCCCCGTGTCTGCCCTCGCTCAGCGTGCACGGGGCCTGCCTCCCCGTCACCCAGCCTCCCTGGCGGCCGTGCCCACTCCGCTTGCTCAGCTGCCAGGGCGGAGGTAGCAGTGCGGAGGAGGATCCGCGTGCCTCGGCCCTCCCCTGCACGGCTGGCTCCTTCGGGGTCAGGCAGGGCTCCCGGAGGGCCTTGGCCAGTGCTGCCTCTCAGCAGGATTAAGGAGAATTAGTCCCGCGCCGTGTGCCGGGCATTGCCACGGCAACAGCGCGGTGCCTCTCGGTGCAGCCAACCAGGCACCTCCCGAAGGGCCTGGCTGCTCCTCGCCTGCGGGTTTCTCCCGGGGTTGGGGGTTAGGCAGCACGCGGAGGCCCCGCTGCACAGCAGGTGTGGGAAGGGCATGGCCTGCAGGAGCCGGGCGGCCCCCGGGGCCACAATGACGCCCATGGGTCCGAGCTCATCCAAAGCAGATGCGTCGCACATTGTCACCATTCATCCCTCGGCAGCTGCCGCCTCGTGCTCTCCAGCCTCCCGAACGTGTCTGCTCGCCTCCCCGCTGCAAGCGTGGCAGCCCTTATCCAAGTCCAAACCTGCCCGTTTCCTTGCATGATGCTGGTGCTGAAGCAGGGACCAAGGGCCAAGATGCCGGTCTGCTGCAGAGACCCTCCAAATCCGTGGAGTGCCTTTAACTCCCCCATGAATACAGACCTTCGCTGAGGTTTGCTCAGGACGCAGCCAGGAGGGATCTCACCAGTGCAGGTGCCACTGGGGTGACTTGTTTCATGCTGTAAATGGGCAAAGCCCGGACAAAGGAAGAAGATCCCTCGGGGTGCGGCGGTATAGGGGCCTGGTTAGCAGGTCAGAGACTCCCTTTTCAGTCCAAGTGAAGGCAGCAGTCAGCGGCACGCTCTCGCCTGGGTGCTGTGCTGAGGCCGGCTCTATGTTACCGGCCTGACGACCAGCCGGGGGAGAGTGGTGCAGGGGTGCAAGCCCGGTGTGGGGGTACCACACTGGTGCGGGTCTAACGATGGACCTTGCCCTTCTACTGAGCTGTTTGCTTTCCTCGTGGGGGGTCTCTCGCCATCTTGATGCAATGCGGGACCTTGCTGGGGCAGCACTACTGAGGCCAGGAGAGCACGCCCGGCGCAAGGCAGCCGGGGCTTGTGCAAGGACGGGGATGCCTCTACAAGGGCTCTGAGCACCAGTCGGACACACCTCCCGATCCGGCCCAGCCCGGCCCTCATTGTGGTGTTCAGAGCTGCTTGGCAAATCAATGAGCTTTGGGCTTGCAGGGTGCTTGTAAGCTCTCCTGTCTTCTAGCTGGCCACTGGGTCCAGCTTTTTCTGCTCTCGGCTTGCAGGACGGGCGCTAGCTGAGCAAGAGCTTAATGTGTGCTACGTCGTGGCTGCAGGGTCGGGTCCTCAGGAGCATGAATGCGACTGCTCCAGGCCCAGGAGACTTTGGGGATTTGCTTTTCTGGGGGCGCCTGGACACGTCGGCCTGAGCAGCAAGCTAGCGGTGCAATTGTAAATGTGGGCGCAAGCTTGGCGAGGCCTCTGCTCTTGGCTTGTGGCTGCCCAAGCAATGAGGTCCCCAGCTGCCCGTGTCCCAGCCCCGTGGGAAGGTGAGGGAGCCGTCAAAGCAACGTCGCTTGGACTGGGTTCGCTCCTCTGTCCAGGATCCAACGCCTTCGCCTTTCACGCCGGTCCTCGGGCAGCCGTGATTCGGTTGGGCAGTGCCGCGACAAGCCTGTGAGGCAGAGCTCGGCCTGGAGACCCGCGGGGTGCCACGGGGGCACCCTGCTGCCAGCTCCCACCGGCCCGTTCAGTGGGCCTCACCTCCTGCGCGGGGACGATCGCACACGCTTGGCTGCAAAGTCACAGCTCTCGCAGCCATGAGTGTGAGCAGGAGGGGGGGGGGGGGGGGGGGGGCCCGGGGGGGGGGGGGGGGGGGGGGGGG